TAGTTTTTAGTTTAGTTTAGTTAACATCAGCCCCTTAATTCAGTTAGTTCAGTCAAGGCACTTTTTTTTACGTTTTTCATCCAATATTTACCTATATATTAATCTTTATATCAATTAAACTAAAATAGTTTTTAGTTTAGTTTAGTTAACATCAGCCCCACCGTCACCAAGAGCATGAAACTCAAACCCTCAAGTCCCTGGAAAGCAATTGGAAAAACAATTGTTCGATGTTTCTGTATATTTTTGTTCAGTTTCGTATGCTAAACAATTTTGGTGCTGTGTTAGGTTGGGACTCCACTTGATGTCCAATGTCAAACATGAAACAAAGAAATAATGATGTATAGAGATCATGAAACATTCAGCTATAAATAACTTCCACCGTGTTCCATGGAAGACAGAAACCGAGGCGGTTTGAAAGACATGAGGGCAATTTTTCATTTTTGAGTGAACTATTCCATTAAAAGCAAACTTGAGATGCTGTAAATGAGCTTTTGTGGGTATACGCTTCAGAGACTCGGAGACTACAGTATCGATTACACAGCCGCACCAAGTATTTTGTGGTTTTTCCACATGGCAGTTCGTTGTTACAGTGTAACACTTGCTAGAGCAGTTAGCCCTGCTCAGTCTCGCTGAGCTCCGAGACACCTCTCCAGCTTGTTTTTCAGCTACAACTGCTGTCCCATGTCAGTCTTCCTCACTCTCCCTCCCTCTTTCTCTCCGTCTTCTCTTTCATTAACTGCTGCTGTCAGTGGGGAAGACCACTTTTGTACGCCATCTAATTCCTGCGGCTGCTGCGGCACAGGGCTGGCAGGAGTTTCTCCAGCGCAGCACATAATCAGGTCTCCTCCTTAAACTCTGCAGGATTCTAACCAATTTGTCTCGCTCAGCTGGAGATCATTGTTTCGATCTGCTCGACAGGGAACGAGTCAACCTTGGTTGAAATTTTCAGTTTGTGCCGATGCCACTCTTGTGATTGGAGTCCTCGGTTTCACCAGATGGCCAATCATTGTCGAGCAAGCATGTCATGACATGTAAAGAGAACTGCACTAGGGTGGTTTGCAGTCGCTGTTGTGTTAAACAGCATGACGAAAGGTTGATTTGGTTTTTAATTGTAGAATTCTCAATATCTCACAGACCCTTGATCGAGGAACCTGCACTGACATCTGTAGGACATCGGTAGGAATTTCAAGATCATGATTAGTGAAATTAGTTTTCATTTTTATAGTACAGAAAATCGGTTTAAAACATGGAAGGGACGAATAACAAATTGATTAAGGAACAAGATCGGGAGAGAACCACCGGGTTGAAATGTTGAGAAAACACTTTTAAAGATGAACAAGAATAATTAGGGAGAATTAATGAACTGCTATTGTGTGAATAATATGTAATCGTGTAATCAATAAAAACTAAACTGTAGTCTGATTACGAGTATTTTAAAATGTAATATAATCTAATTACAAGTCCTTGATTTGTGTAATCTAGGTAATCCATATAACATGCAATCAGTTACTACCCAGCATTGAAAAAGTAGCTGTGGCAAATGGAGCTTTACCAACTGTTGTTTGGCTTTATTTAGAAGACAGGACTTCTTCAGCCATATTGCATGCTGCAGTTTTATAGTATTATAAGTGCACCGTCTTTGGCTATATGTCAAAGCACTGCCAAAAAAGGCAGTTTTAACTTTGATTGCTGACACATTCTGTCTTTGGAAAAAGTTCCCTTTGATTTGTTTATATAAATTGAGTGGTTTTGTATAACTGGCATATTTTGCCAAGTCAAGCCTTCTATTTCTCCTCCTATTCATCAGATGAAAACTTTGTTGAAAGTGAAGCCAATTCAAATGTTTAGCCTGTTAAGCTAGAAACCTGTAGGGCAGGATTTGATTGTCATAGCTTGAGGTCTGTATATTAAAAATATAGTTGGCTCTGTGATGAATTGCTTTTGTTTCTCTACTGCAAGTTGCTTTGGATAAAATTGCCTGTTAAATGTATAAATGTTAAATAAGGTTCTTTTCTGATCCCATTTCTCTCTCTCTCTCTCCTCTACTGATACTTCCAGTATGTACTAAATGGTCCTAAACAAATAAGTGTCCAAAAATAAATATATAATTAATTAAATGGTTTAACGTCAACCACAAAGGAATTTTTGCTTTAAAGATGGAGCAGACTATTTTTGGTTTGCTAGCAAACTAGCAAACCAAAAAGTGGAATAACACCAATTAATCATTCAAAATAAGACACATCGTGTTGATTTCAATAGATACATACTTTAAAAATTGAATTGCTGAATTAGCACTAAAATGAATGTTTTTCTGAAGAGTGTAAAAAAAAAAACAATTTCACGTGGAAAAAAAAAAAGATTTGTATGTACAGAAAATGTACAAACCAAAAAGTGGAATAACACCAATTAATCATTCAAAATAAGACACATCGTGTTGATTTCAATAGATACATACTTTAAAAATTGAATTGCTGAATTAGCACTAAAATTAATGTTTTTCTGAAGAGTGTGATTTAAAAAAATGTAAAAAAATAAAATAAAAATAAAAATTCACGTGGAAAAAAAAAAAGATTTGTATGTACAGAAAATGTAATTCCATGTCTGATGATATTTGTAATATTTTAATACGAAGGAGATGATGGTGGCTGAAAATGAAGAAAAAGTAATAAGACGGCCAAACCAAGCGGATCAGAATCAAACGTCTTCAACACGTGACATGATGAAGCAACATGGCATCTCTCGTTCCAGATTTGCCGAAGCAGCTCTTAAATCCCCACTTGAATGAATCTGGCAAAAGAAAGATTACGAGAGGGGAGTAAAGCAATCAATGTGAAGAAAAAAAACTTTAAGGGAACTTAAGTGAACATTGCGTTAAGCTCCTTACACTGCTTTGGTTAACAGCTTAAAAGCTTTTGGGGCGGAAGTAGTTCTGAAACTGAGTATGAAGAATACACAATAAAAGATATCTGATCCTTGGGCATTTTTTTTTTAAATAAAGTGCTTGATTTTGGTTTATGGACAAAAAAAACTAAAATGTCAATTGCATTAAGTAAAGCAGATGTTACAAGAATTGTAATTATAAAAGATTTAAATCCAAACATCTGGGTTCTAAACTTAATTTCGTTTTGCGCCAGTATGAGCAGAATCTTAAATTATGACAAAATTATTCCTGAGGAAATTATTCACATTCTTCATGCTTATGGCCCGCTACATACAATATGTGCCTCTGTAGGCAGTTTTTGCAGTGTGTTAGTCACTGGGGAATTCACTAACAACTAATTGCATGCACTGTTTGCATTGTTTTACATTCTGCTCACAAAAGGAACAATGCAAATCAGTTAAAGAAATAGTTCACCTAAAAATTAATATTTGCTATAAATTTAAGATGAAGACCATCTAAGATGAAGATGAGTTTGTATTTCATCTAAATAGACTTGGAGAAATGTAGCATTACATCACTTGCTCACCAATGGATGCTCTGCAGTGAATGGGTGCCGTCAGAAGGAGAGTCCAAACAGCTGATAAAAACATCACAATAATCCACAATTAATGTCTTATGAAGTGAAAAGCTGCATGTTTGTAAGAAACAAATCCACCATTAATTTTTTTTTTTTTTAGACATTTTTAACTTCAAACCTTGCTTCCGTTGGTAAAATATGAGTCCTCTGTCCATAATATTGCTTTCTCCAGTGAAAAAGTCATCTCATCTGAATCAAGAAAGAAATATGCTCAGATCAAGCACCATTTACAAATGAAAGCAGTTGAAAACAAATATGTCTGTGAATTTTGATGTGAGAGAAGGAAGTGTTATTATGGATTATGAACTAATATTTTTGCCAGATGCAAAAGTTTAAAGTTAAAACTTAACGATGGATTTGTTTCTTACAAACACAGAGCTTTTGGCTTCTCAAGATGTTGATTGATGGACTGGAGTGGTGTGGATTACTTGTGGATTATTGTGATGAATTTTTCAGCTGTTTGGACTCTCATTCTGACGGCACCCATTCACTGCAGAAGATTCATTGGTGAGCAAGTGATGTAATTTTCTCCTGTTCCGATGGAGAATAATATTCGAAAAGAAAGTGAAAGTGAAAAGTGAAAGTGACGTGACATGTGGCCAAGTATGTTGACCCATACTTGGAATTAGTGCTCTGCATTTAACCCATCCAAAGTGCACACACACAGCAGTGAACACACACACCGTGAACACACACCCGGAGCAGTGGGCAGCCATTTTTGCTGCGGCGCCCAGGGAGCATTTGGGGGTTCGGTGCCTTGCTCAAGGGCACCTCAGTCATGGCACCTCAGTCATGGTATTGAAGGTGGGAGAGAGCGCTTTACATTCACTCCTCCCACCTACAATCCCTGTCGGTACGAGACTCAAACCCGCAACCTTTGGGTTACGAGTCCAACTCTCTAACCATTAGGCCAAGACTTCCCCACAACTTATTCAGTGGTAATAGTGTGACGTTAATTGTGGCTGAGTTAGGTGCAATCTATAATGAGTCTACTTCGCATAGGAAGGAAGCATGTCTGCGCTGAAATGACAATTAACTAATTTTGCTATTTCAATGCATTTAGTGCCTGGTTTAACTAGAAATACTGAAAACAAAATTGGCACAACTGTTTAGTGAATCTGCTCCGTGTAATGCATTCAGCGTTAAAGAAGTCAGTGCTAAAGTATGCTTATATATGTTGTTTTGAACAACAGCAAGAGGGGGTGCATGTACTCGTTTTAATTCAGACACAATTACTGTCTGAATTAGTTCTGCTACATGTATCATAATCAACCAACTGTCAGTGTAATTGTGCTGATGCACTTGGTTTTGATATCATTCATTTGCCATCTGTCGAACAGAGAACAAGAACAGAGATATATGAAGATGGTACACAAAATATACTCACCATTATCCAGAGGAATGACTTTCGATGAGTAATCAATAGTCAGAGAATGAGCTAGGCTATCAATTGCATGCCGATCGTTGGATGGGAATTACATTGCTTGGCTATAAAAACTGATTTCCATCTGATCCTCCTACATTGGGAAGAAAAAAACAAAACGAGATGCAGTTCTGCAGTGCCTTTTCAAATCTAAAACTTTTTATAAAATAAACATGCTTGTGTTGGCATTTAAAGTAGCATTTATATAAAAGGGTATAGCAGACTTTTAGAAAGTTTTCCATTTTTTCTTCATGGAAGAAAGTCAGTCAAACGGGTTTGCTAGTGCGCATTACAAATAAAATGCAATATTATTATTATTTTTTAGAACAAAATGAAGAATAGTAAATGTCAGAATTAAAATGATTCCTTTAAGACATGAAGTGAAATCTTTGCATTAATGGTTTATAAACTGTCTAATAGAAAATCAGACCAACACATAAATTCAATAAAAGATTAAAATAAAAAAAGCGGTGAGCTGACACAATCTGAGCTACCCACAATTAAGAAACAACATCAAAGCTAAAATGTTGACATTTAGCTCCCTATTGGACCCCTGAACTAGTAGAAAACATTTAGCGCAGGCACTCTTGTCTATAACAAATCCCCATCTCTTTAATGAGATGTATTAGCAGCATATTGGGCTTATCGGTGTGACCTAGAAAGATGAAATGGAGGAGTTAGAGAGTTTGCTCTCCCATAATCCCTTGAGAGGAAAACATCCGTCACTCTGTGGCCTTCATCCCCTGGGATGAAATTACTGGGGGAAATTTCCCGAATCCCATATTCCATATCCCATAAACAATTCTGCGTTTTCAAGGCTCTGGATTCTTTAAGACACGAGCGGAATATATAGAAGTAAAACAAATTACACAAAAGTACATAAGAAAGGCTGATGGACCAATTTCACACTGGTAAAACATTTATAATATAATGAAATATTAGCAATTTATACGGTGCCTGCATGAAAATATATATATATTCAGAATACACGGCAACTACTGAATGGCCGTCAATGAAGAAAGATGATTTTTTTATTTATTTATTTATTTATTTAGTTTTACCAGCAGGGGCCAACAAGGCCATGATAACCAGTCAAGCCATCATCTATCTCACTTGGAGTAGTCATAAAACGAATTAAAATGAATCATTACAAATATTTTTAATGTCATGCATCTAATTAATCCATATCATGATACATATATAGAGATATTATAATAATTGAATAATTTGAATGCATTTATTAAAATGAATTATGATAATAAAAATGTCAATGTCATGTATCTATGTATAAATATCAAATTTAGCATGTATAAAATAATCTATATAAATATAGATATAAATGATGTTATTTTATTAAAATGAATGATTAAAATAATTAAAATGTTAAAACTAATAAATTAAAATACACATATTAATATGTATAAATAACCAATATAATGCACATAAATTTATACTTAGTTTTATTTATACAGAAATTTGAATTCAACAAACTGAACTTTCATGGTAAGCCATGCTCCATGCATTCTCAAATCCATCAACACTGTACAGAGCACATTTTAAGTGAACTCTGAGGCACATCAAAGTTTTCAAAATGAATAATGATAGCAATTTAAAATTACAGTCAGCTGCTACATATTTGCAGTGACCCTTTTAACAGAACATATTATACAAGTAAACGTAACCTAATTAAACAAAGAAAGTGAATGAGGGCGTATATTCATCCTATCCTGCCTACAGCTCTCGCTCATTTATTTACATACGGACGAGCTCGACTCTGTCCACCTCCAGATAACCAGAGACAAGTGAGGGAGATGCAGCACATCAATTCTCCAAATGAAACCCATGCAACTCCTTGAAACTGAGGACTCATCAGGAGCAAAAACGGCCTGGTTTAGCAAGAAGTAAGTTTTGTTAGCCATCATTCTGGCCATCTATCTGCCACCTACATTTTTGTAGCAGTTTCTCCCTGAGGTTCACTTATAATGTTAGTCATGCACCAAAAACAGTCATAATTTAGCCATAATCTCCATTAATATGATTGCTTTGCTACTGTATTAAGTCATATAAGTATGTAAGGTAAAACCATCCAATTTACCAAAATGCAAAACATTACTATGTATTTACTAAAGCTATTTAGTTTAGGATTACAATGATCCATTTATGTTACAATGCCTATTATTTTTGTAATACCTCAAGAAAATGTCACAAATGTCTCATTAAGCACAAAAACGGCTTACTAGCCCTTAACGAATCTGTCACTTAATGAAGATATATTTAGATGGGAAATATATGTTAATGATGAATGATTGGTCTATCAGTATAATGTAGTAGAATCAGATGGGCGATTCTGTGATCCCATTGCCATTTAAACTCTGCCCTAAAATGTGATTGCAATCTAAATTGCATTGTATATTGGTGGTGACAGTCCAATAAAGCGTCTCGGAGCATGTTGGCCTATAGGGACTATTTTCACTCTTGCTGTCTGATGCTTTACACTGCGTATAAACGTTTCTGAACATCATAATATACTTCAGAGGAGATATAAGGCATGTTATTTCAAATTAGGCCATCATTGTTATAAGACAGCTTTTCTGACTGGGAAATCCCCTATAGTCACCTCACTTATTCAGGGAATTTTCAGGGCTTGCATTTATATCAATATTAAAACAGACACTGCTTTTAAAGCCAGTTTTCCTGCAGCTCTCTATTAATAAGTTAAATCCAAAAAAGTCTACCAAACCTAACATGCCGCTCTCAGCTCTGTGACATTCACTGTCAAAACATTGTTAGCCCGAGGCATCACACCCATCACTGACCTCATGTTGCACCAAAAATGGGAAGAGCTGGTTGAAAACAGCAGCTCTGAAAATCTGATTGGCTGCTTTTACATCACGTCTGGGAACTTCATCAGTGCACCTTGAAACAGTCATTTGAGTGTCATCAAATGGGACCCAAAGTTTAGTTTAAAGTACTGTAAAGTTAATGACACTGGGGGGGAAAAAATGATGTGAGGAGAAAATTCTACGTGTGATTTACAGACAATGCGCACATTAAAGAGCCAACCCATGTTCATTCGAAATACGTGCCTCTAAATACATTTCTGCAGCACCATTATTACGTACCTTGTTTCAGTTTCAAAGTGAAACGTCCAGTGAGTGGTGATAAAACGCGGGTTCAATACGTGACCCTGGCATGTATTTGTTACGTTGATATAGGCACATATTGCTGTGTTTGTATTATGTTGCTTCAGGTACGTATTGCGGTGGTTCATAATTCAAATATCTGATGTGTCGCTAAAAGTCGTGTTGGAAATATCCCCTACACCAAACCCAACCCTAAACCTACCTGATAGTGTTAACAAATGAAAAAGTGATATAAAAACGTATTTGTTGATGCAGCCATGCTATTTTAACTTCCTTATGCGTGATTTGAGCTGTTTTTTCGAACCTTAGTTTCACGGGGTTCGTACTGGAGCTTTTCATCACTCAAGTGCAACGCTGTATCACGTGAGCTACCGAGCAAACCTACTGAATTAGAAAACTCATGCATATGAAGCTGGATATGTGACGGCACATTCAAAAGTATCAGTTTTCAAATATCGCAGCATGTTAAAAATTTTTGAATTCATAGCATAATATTCCTCAAGTAATTATGCGAAAATTAGGCTTTATTAATCGAAACTGTGGACCTGCAAATTATATTTTGTGTGAAAAGGAATAAACGTTGTCTGAGTTTTACTGCCTCTAGTGTTCATTTCAACTGGAAACTGCAGCGATTCGTGTGTATAGGTACGTTTTTTGAGTTTTGCAGAAATTTAGGTAGAGGCATGAATTTCCAATGAGCCTATGTTGCAACGAACACAGATGCAGCCAGATCATTCCATAATGACCAGCGCAATCTACCAAGAGCAGCGCAAATTACCGCCTGCTTTAAGAAATGTTTTTTGGGCCTTAAATAATGGCGCAAATACCGGTAATTTGACGAGCGCAAACGTTAGCAAATCGCATTGCGTGATTCATTTTAATACTCTCCTCCCATAAATTTAGCGTCTGAAAGGAAAACTCCTACAAATCCATATTCAATAAGGTCAGGTGCAAAAATAACTGTGTCCACCCCTATTCAGCGCTAATACTTCACTGCGCATCTTTAGTAATTCTGACAGTACTATTTTAACACCAAAAGACAGTTTGCGCTGACGCAAGCCGTTAGTAAATCTGGCCCTTGGAGTGAACAATTTTCACTAACACAAATACATTTTCACAACAAATTATATAGAAATGGCAAGTAACAGACAAATCAGAAATGGTATTTTCTTGTAAAACATACTTCAATAATCTTGCTTTATTATCTTCGGAAAAAAAATGTTACAGTGTATCCAACCAGTGTATTTTACATCATTGAAATAAATATATTGATTATGGATGGACAGAAATTCTGATTGCTGTCTTACTGACTACACAATTGTGGACTAGAGTTGGACAATATGTACATTTTTAACATTATATTATCTGTGTTAATGTCTGGATATGTAAACTGACTGATCAAACAGTCTTGTCTGGAATTTGTGCATGATAATAATGTAAACACGGCCTAGGAAATAAAAAATCCCATTACCAAACTTTTTCCAATCTGGACGCCCTAAATGTTAGAAACTATCAGACAGTTTCAGCCAGTATCTTTCAACTAAAGATCAGCTATTTCTCCTCCTTACCTACTTCTCCACTATCAAGCAGTCATCAAAAACAGCCATTCTAATGCTGTCCTTGCAAATACTAATCAGCCATCACTTCATACATACAGTCCTTTAAGTGTAGATGGTTTAAATCTAAACCAAACTTTAACCAGTGGGAGAGTGAGATTAAACTCTTGAGCAAATCTTTAAAAATTGTTAAGGACAAGAAAGCCCTTAAACTGATTTCACATTCTCATAAGTATAAGCTATAATTTAAGATGGCCCTTTTCTTTTTTGTTATTTATTGGTTTGATAGATCGATCGATCGATCGATCGATCGATCGTTTGTAAGTTTGATGTCCGTCTATGTATTTAATTCTTGGTTATGTTCAACCAGAGGCAAAGGATTTGTCATCTTTACTGATTGAATTATATGCTTTGTTTTATTTTAATTTTATGAATCATTCATACATATATATATATATATATATATATATGTTACATATTTAATTAACTCAGTACTAATGCACATATTTGACATTTGTCAAAATCATTTTCTTCTAAAGCTAAAAGTGGCTGAAGCCAGTATGCAACATAATATATATAGAAACATGATATCCTGTGGCATAATGCCATTTTTCCAACAATATCAATTCCTGGTTTGAGAGCAGCAGGCTTCACAAGCAATACTGAGCAATTTTTTTTTCCACACCAGAAGCACCAATTCTGCGGTGGAAATGACTTCAGATTGGGCACCTGCACCCTGATGGTGGAAAGGGGGCTTTAGATAAAGATTGAGACCCTCCTTCAATTGATTTTTTTTTTTTTTGTCAAAATTTTAAGTTCAAATACCAGTAAAGTACCAGCACACCTCTCTTCAACAAGCGCCATGATTTGAGGTTTCATTCATGTCCATAGAAGAAATGGTGAAGGACAGGCTACAAGTTTAATACTCAGGGTTATTGATTTGAACAAATCCATAATCCTAAATCTGAGCAGTGCTAACAGCGATGCTTGACTTGGTAAGCGCTATTAATTATTACACAAATCTCCAGATATTACAGAAACAGTCTTTCACTTTAGCTGTGATCTAGTTTATGGTGTCAGGACGTCTCTGGAGTGTAAGCTATTCACAGAAGACAGATTTGCACTTTTTTTCCCATATTCGATGCAGCATGTAATTACTACCCTCTAAAAGTGTGAGAACACAAATGCCATACTGCAGGAAAACTGGCATCTCTCTTGCACACATTTAGTCTCATGAGAATGAATTTAAGATGAAAAACCATCTCAGTTTGTAATGATGTGAGAATGGAGTGATAGTTCTCTCTCTAGAGAAGGACACTTGAAAAAAGCTTCCTGACCAACACCTCTCTCATCCTCGATTTATTTTTACTCTGTATGCAAAGACAACAACAAGCGCAACAACCACTGTCTAATGATGCAACGTGATCTCATTAGCATATGTAGGAATGTGCACATAAAGTGTGGGCCTAACACATTGTTCTGTGTATAAAAAAAAGTTTAAAAAAAAATAATAATAATAAAACATCATCCTATTTACACTTTCTAAAGCATACACAATTTTATGCATGTATTTAAAACTTATACACTGTTAAATGTTAATACATGTAAATATTTTATTTTAATATTAATATTTAAAATCAATTAATATATTTTTGAACAACGTTAAACCTATTTTGCAGTTGACACATTGACTGACTTCATGTTAAGCTTGATATTTTGTTCTGTGTGATTCCTTAAGACTAGACACAATAGTCAGAACTGTTAAACACATGTAAATCAATAAATGAGAGAAACAAGTTGTTAATGATAATGACTGTAACAGCGAACATGTTTCTTACTTGTATATTTTATACATGTTGAGCTTTGGTTAATAAAGAGGGTGCATGACTTTACCTTTATTAGTCAAATCTGAGTTTTATTTATTAATAAATTAGCAATTTTCAAGCATCGTTCTCAAAAAAAAACATCTCTTTAGTCTCTTCTCTTCATTTACTGATAAACATCTGTCTGTTTCTGAGTTTTAAACACAGTCACTTGCTTCTGGAAGAATTCTCCAGTAATTCTAGTTTTGACCAGATGTTCAACAACAAGAGGATTCATAAACATTTGTGTGACCCAAAAAAGAAAGAAAACAAAAGTTTTGTAAAGAAGCTATTTAAGTGCTTTCCAAACAAAATAAAAAATATATGTGTACAACTAGTGTTGACTGCAATGGTTGAAACAGTTTCAGAAATTCCAGTATTGAATTCCAGTGTTGAAATTTATTTTTGATAACACTATAGTGTGCACTATGTATTTGACTCATTATTTAATTCATTAGACATTGGTTTTGCATTTCGACTGAGAATTCACATTGGCAATCCAAAACCTGTACACCATATTCAATGCAACTGAGCTGTTTAAATCAAGCTTTTTCATATAAATAATGACACTAAATTAACATTTCAAATGGAAAGCTCTGATAACAACATTGCACGTTCAGTAGTAATGTGTTAACTCTTTCACAGTAATATCTGACAGGTTAAACCTACTGCGGTTTAAACCATTACATTTAATTTCCACTATAACGACATGAGATTCATCCACCTCTCTCCCATCTAACCCTGCTGCTAAGGCACCTAATGCATGATGTATGAGAGCAAAGAGCGCCGGCATATGCATAACCACAGCGGGAGAGACTAGCTAAAGGCGAGGTTATCTCGAGTCAATTGAAATATGAAGCTTCACCTCTTTCAACAATATTAAGGTTATGATAATGTCTAGATCTATGTTGGTTCCCAAGCACGACGGATGCCAAAGGAAGCGGCCTGAAGTTAAAGCAAAGAGAATAAACATGAGCCCAAAGGAAAGCAGATTCTTGTGTTTTGATTTGTTCTGAGCCCATTTTCATTGGCTGCCAAAACGATGCTGTATGTTTTGACTGTGTGATTGAAAATGAGCTATAATCATCATGCTAATGTGTTAAGCACAAAGAGGAAACGAATAATGTCTTTCCTCGTACTCTCCCCAGGCTTTCAATTGGATGATGACCAATTCAAGTCAAAATACCAAGAACAAAATAAGAGAGAGAGGTGCCAAACGCGATCATACCCCATTCATTCATAATGTTCATTTTCAGTCTGCCAGAGCAAAGCATGAAGCAGAGGCATTTGTCTTTGTTTATGTGTGCATTGGGGGTAATATATGGCATGTTCACATGTGTTGCCATGTCTCTATGCATCATATATTTGGAGCTCTGCGCCGATATGATTTCTTGAAGAGGACAATAAGGCTAAATAAGAGATAATGTGCCATCAGCAGGTCATTATCGCAAAATAAACTCGACAGGGCGATCGAGACCCCGCCGTGAAGCAAACTATCACACTGAAAAGGTTTATTTTGCCATAATGACCATCTGACTGCACATAATCCCACTTATTACACAGCTACTTAGCAAAAAAATAAATAAATGGGCATTAAATATTGATTTGAGTTGAAATTACTCTATTATGTGAGAATAAAAAGACTTTGAAGTGATAGCAGAGAGAATAAATGAACACAGCTATGTGGGAAACCAGTTGGCTGAGACAGTGATATAATTGTATTAAATTATGTTGCTTGCAGCTGACCTATCGGAATCAAATATTCCAAAGAGCCATATAATAAACGAAAATATCATTTATAAAAATATCATTTTCTTCACTGATCAAGTTTATTGATCTGACTGCATATTATGCCTTTGTAACTATGTTTACTTAATGTTATTTTTATGCAGAATGGCAAGTTTGACCAATCAGAATCCAGAATTCCAAAGAACTATATATAATAAACAAAAACAAATCAACAACAACAACAAAAAAGTGTTCACTTTTTTTTTTTTTTTTTTTATGGTGTTGAAACTGTCAAGGAAATTATTGTATAAAAATATTTTACAGTTTAATGCCAAGTAGAACCAAGTATTCATATAAAATAAACAAACATTTTATTTATTTTCACTGTTTTTGGGTGGTTTGTGTCATCCTCCAGGTGTGAATTATACAACAATAACATATTTTACTGCAGAATGCCACAACTGACCAATCAGAATCAAGTAATAATATCTTATAAAAATATAACATATAAAAAAAATCATTTATTTTCCCTGATCAGGTTTATTGACCTGCTGACTGCGCATAATCCTGAATGCTGCTTTATTGTTTTCTTATTATATATTTTTTTTAAATGCAGAATGCCAAAGTTGACCAATCTGAATCCAGAATTCCAGAAAGTATAATAAACTAAATAACTAAATATATACTATACTAAATATACTAAATAAATAAATTCCTTTCACTGATTTTTTTTTTTTTAGATGTCATCTTCCAAAACCTGCTGCCTGGGACAAGTGTCAATGAAATAATTATATAAAAATATTTTACAGTATAATGCCAATCGGAGTATTCCAGAGATCCATATAATAAACAAAAATATATATTCAAAAATATAAAAATATTCCCTGATTGAGATTCAGGAACATTATCCCTTATGCATACTGTTTTCTTTCAGAAATTATATTGGCACATATAAAAATACATAATGCATAATGTAGACAGACCTGGAAAATGTGTGAATATATGTGATATAAAACCACCATCATGGAAATTTCCCATCATGCATTATGGCAGCGACAACAGAGCTAGCAGGAAGTGACATCATCTGCTGTATTTCTCACCTGATTAATAATATCCACTTCCACTCCCCAGAACATCGCTACAGGACGCTTGCTGTGTGATACGGGAGGCCGGTTGGGGTGCGCAGATTAAGTATCCATTCAGGCAGCTGCGGTTGATGAGGGAGGAGGGAAGTGAAAAGGTGAATTACAGCCTGCAGCAGTACAAAAGCGTAATGAAAGATTAAAGACTGCAGCACAGGTTAAATAGATGGGTTAGAATAAAGATGACACAAGCTCTCATCTTTGATTATAATCATAATACAGGATTAACGCTTCAAGATGAGATTCCCTCAAGAGCTTCAACCTAATGAGATCTGTTAATTGAAATCATACTGAAACTTCAATGTTGTATGCAGGACAGCACAAAACAGACTTTTTCCCTTCTAAAAATAACTAGTTATAAAATAAAAACAAAAAGTGTGAGACATTACAGGACCGATTGGGGCTAGATACCACACTTTGTATTTAAGTGAACTGAATATAATATTTCAAAGAGTGTAGAACAGATACATACCTTATTCCGGAACGATTGCTCTGGTAACCAGCAGCCTAGTTGTGGTGTTTTAAGTGTACTGGAAAACGGTGACAGCTCCAGTCAGGGACAGGACACCAAAAGCCAGAAAACGTACGTCTGGTCATCCCTACCGAAACTACATACACATGAAAAAACTATGTAAATCAGGGTTTCTGTAGGTCTTAAAAAAGTCTTTATTTGCCCTTACACAAATTAAGGCACTAAAAGGTCTTAAATTACAGCAGAAAGTCTAACATTTATAAAAATTGATGTTTAAACATCCTTAAATCATGACACATTTACTTGAGATGCAAAATGAAGAAATCGAGTCTTGGTTTTTTGAGAAACTGAACACAATTAAGTGAGTTTATGCTTAAAACTAGAACATACATGTCAATGGGGTATGAGCCCACTTGCAGATATTTGGCCTTTTTACTGTAAATTCACTTCTTCACTTCAGAAAACACGACTTCTTAACGTCATTTTACGTCTGGAATATTTTTAGACATTTGGAAAACACATTAAAGTACAGACGAAGAACATCACTTTTGTGCAGTGTGACCAGAATTTTTTTTTCTTTTTTCTTAATTACTTAAAGCTGCAGTCCGTAAGTTTTGCCTCTTTGTCGCCATCTCTGTTTGAAAACCTGGAATTGCAGCTGTGTGCGGAATTATCTAGCTTGCGTGGGTTGTGAGTCGGCACGGCTCCAGCGCGGATGAATCTAATGTTCTGAAGAGTATGTGTGGCAGTCAGCCAGTCACCGCACCGGTGTGGATATTTACTGTACTTCGCAATCACAGATTCTAGCTTACGTCTTGGAATAAGACGTAAACACAGTGTTGTGTTTACGTACAAGACCCAAATAAGAATTTTCACCGTATATTGCCATCTGAACAAGTAAGTAACAAGTCTGCCATTTGTTATTTTAAGGTCTATGGAAATTTCAAAAAGTTTCAAAACAGCTGACTCAACGCAGACTCATTTGCTCAAATTACATGACTGGTTCAAAACAAATGATTCACCAAGGTTTGAAGCTTCACAATGCAGTGTTTCAAAAGCGCTCATCACTACACAACACACGTCAAAAGTGGCTCTTTTATCCAATCATGATACTACGTGACAGACAACTAGTCATCCTGTACAGTTCAGTTCAAAGAGCAGGGGTTTGCCTTGAATAAGGTTGCGAGTCCTAAACTCTACAGGTGTAAATTTGGTTACAGGATGCGGTCCTAACTCCCATAAATAACCAAACTCTGTGTGAATATAACTGTATTAAGCAACATATTCTGTTACTGTTTGAACCTGGCCTAGTATGGACACATCTAGTGAAGGTTTGGAGCTAAACCAAGCCAAACGGTGAAAGAAAAAAGAAAAGAGTCGTAAATATCGAAACAGATTTCTAAAGCTTTTGAGCTCTTTGCTTTGACATCGATTTGCTGGCATGTTTACTTGTTTTGCCTTTCTCAATTAGCGCTAAACCTCAGCGCTCTTGTTTTTCTCAACACTGTGTTTTCGCTGTCCCAGCGTTTCCACAGCACACGCTCTGAATACAAAAGGCCCAAACGCAGACACCAGGCATCTCTGTTCCTGTGCTTACCTTGCTCCAACAGACTGATGGGAAGGTCAAGGAGGACATGGGCAGGGACTGTTTTTGGAGTCCCGGCGAGAATTGAATCAGATCACCAGCACATCGGCAGCACAGCACAAATTAAGCTCCCCTGTTGCGCTGCTGAAGTGTTTGTGAGTGAATTGATAAATGCCTTTCAAAGCAACCGAATTTTACTCCAAACACACACACACACACTGCTGAATTATGTATAGTGTCTCCTTTGTTGCAGTGCGTTTTGTTTCTGCTTTACATGAAATCTGATTTAGGAACAGACGAAATGTCAACTTTAGCCAAGTCTGCAAGTGGGGGGATTGTTCTTTTTTTGTGCACAACAAAGACGTCTTCTGCGGGAAGATCAGATGGGAAAAGCTTTTCTGTAAACGAAATGCATGCAAATGCATCAGCATAGTATTTGCATCTCATTTACTCAGTTGTATATCAGTCAAGCATGTGCTTGTGTGGTTTTAAAGAAAAATCACTATCTACCTCTTTCACTCAATAAAGAAACACAATGAGCTGTATTAAATAAAATGGATAGTTCATCCAAAAAAAAATAGAAAATCTGTCATCATTTACACACACTCACGTTGTTCCAAAACTGTATGACTTTCTTTTTACAGAACACAAAAGAAGAAATTCTAAAGAATGCTGATAACTGAACAATTCTGATTATCATTGAATTCCATTTTATAATAATAATCAAAAATGACATGGAACAACATGAGTGTGAGTAAATTATGACAGAATTTTTTTTTTTTTTTTTGTGAACTATCCCTATAAGGAAAACATTTTCATTAAGTTCAAATAAAAAATGATTTGAATGGATTTGTTGTAGTCTTGCATGAAAAACATTTTCATGCTGTAAAATTAAGACTTTCACAAAAAGGACATACATTGACAATAATTATGTCAGGATCTGCTACGGTGCGGGAACACGGAGCAAGGAACGAGAAGACCAAGAGTACAACAATCAAGGAATTTATTAATCTTCACGGGGAATCACACGTAGCACGAAGAGTAGACATAAACAATACCGGATGCTGGAGCACATACAGGGAACACCATTTATACACACAGGAGGAAGGGATGACGAGACACACCTGGGAGCAATGAAACATCAAGGGAAACACCTGGGACAAATTAAACATGGGAAAGGAAGGCACATGAAGAAAACAACCACAAAACACGTAACAG